TATCAAATTTATTTTCATTTCAGAGGAAACGTTTCTCTGTAACGTTTTTCTCTGAAAACATTGTCTCAAAACCGAGACACTCCTAGCAGTTGAAATTTTTAAAAGAGCATGAATGAAAGGGAGTAAAACAGMATATGAACCTTACAAGGGATTCCCTTGTGGAACTTTAAAACCGATTAGTGTCATTTTCTGTAAGGTTCAAATCACATGTGATCATCTGGAAAGTCAGTCTTCTAGAATAAATGTCAAACATCATAATTACCAAAAAAAGGCAAATTATATAGATGACTTCCAAGGCTTGCAAAATCCARTGTGAGAGGTCCTTATCTCTCCTATAACTATCCTTTGACAGAAACAGAACTGCCAGAGGGAAACACTGATTCCATACAATCAATAATTTTGATTTTCATGCTGTCACAATTCAGTAGTAAATTAGGAATCACAGGATCTATCAAGAAATGCCAGATGGTGCATTACAAAATATAGCAGCTGTCCTTTTTCCTCCAACGACTCATTTTAAACTGGTGGAAAATGAAGTTACTTTAATCTGCCCTGTACAGCTCTATAATAAAAACAGACACTAGAATAAAGGTTGAGTATCCAGCTACTCRCTGGGCTCACCTAGTTTACCATCATGATGCCATGCAGTGTAGTCACTCAGCAATTTCACAAAACAGATCACGTATTTTCACCGGGGTATCTTTGCTCTCACCACCCTACCCGCCCTTGTCTAGCAGAGCTCACAGTGTCAGGGCAGACACGGAAACAGCTGTCAGTAAGAACTCGCTCAACACCTACACAGGGACATAAACTGACCACGAACATTGTACCTCAAGACCAATACAAGGGCAGCTGGCATGCCATCACTAGATGCCATTTCAAAGGTGGCTCCTGACTCAAGAGCCTGAAGTGAAAAGCAAAGGCTGTTTTAGAGKGATATACCTGAATGGCTTGAGAAAAAAACAAACTTCTTACTTCAACAGATTAGCAATACACCTATTTCCAAAGCACCCATGTATTTGAACAGAAAGCAGGGGATAAAGTAGTTAYTTAAAAATCATACCAAAACTTACTATCTTTGGTTTCCAACTTTGCAAAACCAATAGCTCAGAACCRTTAATAAATCCTTGGAGTAATAAAAGAATTGTTTCAAAGACATACTGGAGAGAAAGTATTTCCTGTTTCTTTTTAGTTTTATTACTTAAAGTCTTAATTTGGTGTGTTTTAAGAATGTAACAGASTAGACATATTMGTCGGAGCCCAGTCTCAGTTATTAYAGCACAGCCAAACTCTTTTCATCAAGGTTTACCAGAGATAACAAATCCATCCCTCAGCCAAGCATAAAGATGCAAGCAGTGTAAAAAGAAGTRGACATTTTTCACATTGCCTCACAAAAAAAAAAATGGTTCATTTTCAAGCTAATTCTTTCCAGTTCCCRAGCTACAAAAAAGGCAACTTAGTTCCTGTTGCTAGGTGAGTATATTAGCAAAGTCTAAAATACAACCCAATAAAAAAATTATATGGTTTGCTCATCTGTATAGCTAGATTATGTGTTTATAAATTTCAATATTTCAAAAACTTTTGGAAGATCACTCAAATGTATCTTTGTTAGATCTRCAGCCATAATTTCTCCACAGTAGCRATGTAAATTACAGTTGGGGAGCTAAGTGTACACACTCTTCTGAGAAAAAAAAAAAACCTAGAAATTTTATGGACTTTACATAAATGTATTCACACAAGTTTCTTTTTCCCGCTTGAAAATTTGCAGGCATGTCTAAGTATACTGGTAATTCTAGGGAAAAAAAAAATTTTAGGCACCACAGTTCCCCCTTTACTTTCAGAAACCTGGTACCTCATTTTTCTGTTACTGTCTCAAAATGTCTAGAATGAACAAGAAAACAGTGAACCAAAGCAACAGATCAGCAAAAATTCAATTAGTTCTAAAATTTGGAYATGGCATTGAGATAGAGAACTATAAAACTCAAGAGAAACAAGTATTTTGTTTTATTTCTAAACAAGATATAATTTTAAAATAAAGTTTAAACATTTCCTTGCAGTATTACTAATTCAAGTATTGTTGGAATGTGAAAATTACTCATTTTTCCTCCTTAAGCTGTTTATATGATTTTTTAAAGTTACTTCCACTTTAATAACCTACAGTTTTAATAAACACTTGACATGGAATTTCTTTAAATATGCCTGTATATTAAAATTATGTTATCTTTCAAGTATTTGTAAAAGATGGTTAAATTGATCCACTTTGCAAGACAATGTTTATACTACCTCTTTTTAGCAGTACTGTAAAATGAATGCAATCTGTTTTTTAACATAATCCACAGCTGCTTCAAAATGTCCTTTCTGAAGCTCTAGTGCTTCTTTCAAAGTACTTTAATGAAGAATGCCTTTAATTAGTATTCATTTCAAGTAGATTTTTTATTCATTTCATAAAAATCTGGTCTTAGGACAGTTCTCATCATTGTAAATAACTGACTAAATACTAAAATTGTAAAAATTAGAGTGAACAGTAAGATAATTCAGATGYCATTCTTCCAAATTTCCTTTACTAYTGCYTTTCAGCATGTCTTTTTCATCATGCTATAAAACTTAGAAGACTCTGCTACAGACTGAAGAAAGTCTGAACTGSAAAGGTTAAATGGTTGTATTTCACCAGAATGCTTTATGTAATACTAGCCTTGCAGAACACTGACAATGATAAATACTGTGCAGTTAACTTACCCTTTTATTGGGTCCYTTCTGTCCCAAGGACTGGAAGCACAATACTCAGCCATGGGAGAAACTGATAAGAAATCTGTATTTTCTGCTTTGATTAGCTTTAGTTAGCCACTTGCTGACTTTTTGTACTTATGCATGTATGTGCAATCTAAAAAGACTATAAGCAAATGTTTCCCAGCCTGCCTGTTGYTCTCCATCTGTGGAGAGTCTAGTAAAAATCCAATGTTCTCTATCTTTATTTGGACTGAAATGTGTTAGAGATAAAGTGAGTTACATGGGCTGAAGTCACATGGTGAGCCAATGCCAATTAGTAAAATATGCCTTACCGACTACTCTTATATCCACAGTACTGCACTTCTAGCAAAAGTCGTGACAAAAGCACSTTATTTCTTTGCACAGATCTTAAACTAGTATGTATGAAATGTGAACACCAGAAAGCACTAAGCTGTGGTGAAATGAATTTGAGTTAAGGTCCTTCATCCCTCAGAGACCACCTGAGGCGAACAGAAAGGGACTGCTTCTAGGACATGGTCATTTACCAACCATGTACAATTTTGCTCATTGTATTGTTGACATTAGAGCACCACCTTATTAAGTTTAATAATTTGGGATTGTCCTAGCACCTGCCACCTAGATTCAGTCTTTGTAGAACATTGGACTTTTAAGTTAACTTCKACATGTTCACATAATCACACAGTGGATGCTGAAGCTTTGGTGTTCTCCACCTGTGTTGAAACTTCCACCCCTTTCAAAGCCCAAACACCACYTTCTATTGTTTTCTGACTACATATTTGAGTTATTTTTTYCCCTGCTAACTCAAGYCCTGAGAATCTRTGTTATTTTAAGTACAAWGCTGATGTCAGCACATGAGACACAYGGAGCTCTTAGAGCAGATCCAGTGGAGAGCTTTAAAGCTGATCACAGAACTGGAGCATCTCTCTTATAAGGAAAAGCTGAGGGARATAGGCCTGTTCAGCCTCCAGAAGAGATGACTGAGAGGGGACCTCATCAATGTCTGCCTGTATCTAAACAGGGGGTGCCAAGAGGATGGAGCCAGGTACTTCTCGGTGGTGCCCAGCAATAGGAMAAGAGGCAACAGCCAGGATCTGATGCACAGGAAGCTCCACTGGAGCAGGCTGCCCAGAGAGCCTGTGGAATCTCCCTCACTGGGGATGTTCCAGAACTGTCTGGACACAACCCTGTGCCATGTGCTCTGGGATGGCCCTGCTTGAGCAGGGAGGTTCTGACCCACTGTGGTCTCTCCCAACCTGACCCGTTCTGTGATTCTGTGAAAAAACCGCATGGCCCCTCGATGTTGGCGAGCTTCTGAAGCGCTGCGCTCGAAGGAAGGAATACTGCATCACTGAGCTGGATGCAACACGCGAAGGAATGGGCGAGCCTGGCTGTTTACCCACGACACTCCGCGCTGGGGGCGAGCGGGACGTTGGCCCACAGGCTCTGGCAGTTCCACGCCGCAGCCCTTTACCCGGGGCGCCCCATGAGCCCGCGGCTGCGGCTGTGCCCGGGCCCGGCGCCTCGCCACGSCGCTTCGGGCACCATGGGGCAGCACGACGGCTGCGCAGCGCAAACCCAGCCACGTCCGCCTGGCTGGGCGCTGCCGACTCCCAGCCACGGCTGCCCGGAGGAGCCGCTCTCGCCATCGCCAGCGCTGGGTTTAACTCCGTAGGCCGCAGCGCTGGCGCGGCGAGAGAGCGAGGGCAGCCACGTGGGTGTTCCCGCCGGCCCCCCCGCTCGCCGCGCCGCGCCGCGGAGCCGCCCTCACGCCGCTCACCTCCATTACCGCGAGCAGAGGGGCAGCTCGGCGCTTTGGGCGGCGGGCGGGCGTCGCTTGGACGAGGAGTCGAGGGACGGACCGGTAGAGGAGGGTAGAGAGAGGAGAGAGAGGGTGGGAAAGTGGCGTGGGCGGCTGCAGGCAGCGGCCTTCTTCAGGCTGGGGAGGTGCGGGGGCCGCTTCCTTCACCGCGCTGCTCTGTGAGAGGTTGCGCCGGGTGTGTGTTCGGGGGCGGGGGGAGTGTGTCAGGAAGGGCTCGTCGGTGGCCGTGGGTTTTCTCTGGGCGGCCTGGTATTTATTTCTGTGTGTCTGGGCTCCCCCGGGTGTCCCCTGAGGCGGCAGTCTGGGAAGGGGGGTGTCCTCCACGCCAGGTCGGGCCTGCATCCGCCGTGGGTGCTGGGCTAGCGAGGTTGTAGCGAAAGGGGCGCTGGCGAGTGGGTTTTGTGGATTCTGCTGCTGTGTCTGCACCACCGAGATGCCGCAGTTGAGGTCAGGGAAAGTGGTGAGAGCCAGCGAGGTGGAGCTGGTTGACCCGGAGGTCACCGGCCCTGGCTCTTCAGGTGCAGGGTGTGAGCCAGGGAAAAAGATGGTAGTGAAGCGGAGTCCTTGCCTGGCTCCAAAAAGAAAACCTGAACAGCCCTTATGTTCCTTTCCACAACTTGCCACGCTCTCCAGCACTTCCTTTGAGTGTTTTGCTCCTCTTGTGCCCATGCAGAAGGAGCGAGGTGAGAACAGCCAGAAATTCCCAGGTAAAAAAGCCAAGGGGATCCAGGACAGGAGGTCTGTCAGAAAAAGCAAGGGTGTAGCTTCACCGGTTTCAGACACAGCTGAGTGTGAAGATTGCCAAGAAACTGCCGTGGCTGCAGCAGTGTGCTGGGAAGAGACTGTAAGAAGAGGRACAGGGCAAAGTCAACAGCTGTTATTCCCAGGAACTATTTTGCAGAATAAGTTCTCAGCAGGAATTGAAAGCGGTGAACATGCTTGCTCAGAAGACCTGAACCTCTYAGATTTCCCAGAAGTTTCAAGGGGTTCAGGAAAGGAAGGCCAGTATTCCTGTATGAAAATAAAATTACAAATCCCATCTTTGGAGGGGGAAATTGAGAGCGCAGAGAGACATGGAATATCCTGTTCTCTAGAACCAGAAAGTCTGCAACCCAAAAGGGTCACRTGGAGTACTGAAATGAAATGCGCTGACCCTGTAATGATGCAGAATATGCAATTCCCAGATCTTACGAAGAATTYGGGGGCTCAGGAAGCCACACCTGTACCAAAATCTCAGGAAGAGGTTGATATACTAGAGAAGTTGAATGGGTGTCCATTAGTTGGATCCGGAACACTAGGGACACGGGAAAAAGAAAAGAGATGCTTGGGCAAGAAAGGCAGATCAGTGGTGAAACCAAAAGTACATGGTCCCAAAGAGAGGGGTAGTTCTGCCTTGCTAAAACAGCATTGCCCTGCTAAAACGCAGTGTCTAGAGTCCGGAAAAAGAGCTCTGGGTATGAGGAACAGAAAAGCAGTGCTGTCACAGCAGCWGCAGGGTCTGAGTGGACAAGAACAGCCAGCAACCAGAAGAAAGAAGCGTTGCATGGAAGAAGAGCAGCAGAGCTCAAGCCCTCAGAAAGGACRAAATAGCCCAGATGGAAGTGGTAAGCATTGATAGAGCTTGTAAAGTACAGGTACAGAATTTGGGCTCCCAAGACAAGGGACTGGTCCTGCAGTAAGACCCATTTAAAAATTGCCAACTTTGGGAGGTGTAGAGATGAAGCTAGGGTGTGCTTTCCAGTACCGTGAATACCACCAACTTTAGAAGGAGACAGGTTTTTAGAAAGAGGAAAGGCTTTTCTTGAAGGAGAAAAACAGTCTTAACACAAAGGAGAGAAGACTGGTTAGCCTTTTGAGGGGGTTGTGGGAGGGAGGAAGGAAGGGGTGTGGGCAGCAGCAGACCCTTGGTCGAAGTGTTGGGAGTTTGTTACCCTCAAAAGCATTCCCCATTTCTGCAGAGGTGATCAGGCACAAGAAGGAAAGGAGTTAGTAGTTTTAGAATGCCAGAATAAAAGACAGTAAATTCTTAATTATTATCTGTTTATTTTTCAATGTGTATCATGCTGTCTTGTTTCAGTGTCTGCCTTTGTAGGATGTTGGGGTTTGCTCTCAGAACCTTTCACTTTTTAGTTGCTGTTCTCTGTAAAATCCCGAAAGATGTAGAAGCAGTGATTGTRTTTTGATGTTTTAAGAGAATGTTGCATCAAACTGGACTCTGAAAGAGGAGTTTAAAAACCTCTTGTTTTTTCAGGAGGATAGTCTAAAAACATTCTTTTCACTTTCAAAGTAGAAACATTCAAATGACAAATATTTACTGTAGTTATTAATATTTTATCTAATATTCTGAAAAACTGAGGTATTGAAATTGTGTCTTACCTTGAAAATTAAGGTCTTAAAAAAACAACATTATACTAGCATATTCTTGAGTCCATGCTCTAGTCTAAATTTTGAGATACAGTTTTTTTATATGTCTGTATTTGCTTTCAAGTAAAAAGTTGTAGTCTCTAAAAATGTGAGTTCTTCAGTTTTCCTGCATCTTCTTGATCAGTCTGATGCATTTGGTCGGACTGTGTCTCTGAAAGATACTCTTATGAATAAAAGTTCCTATTAGAGAATCTGCTGTGTAAATGAAAGATTTTAAGGCTGAATATGTTAACAGCATCTGCACTGTCTTGCCAGATTTGCTTTAATTCGATTTCCACCTATGTGGAATACACAGTAAATATACATCTTCCAGTGTCCTTACAACTCAGTAAAGTTCTGTTCCTCTGCGTTTTTTCCTGAGGATAATACACCCTTTGTTACTCTTAAGTCTTATAATAGTGTTCATTATTTAAAAAAAAAAAAAACAACCGCAAAACTTCACGTACATATTTTATTCTTGCATAGTGTCATGTTTTTTAGCATCCTTGAATGTTTGGGGTTTTTTGGTTCTCTTTATAAAGGAGTTTGGTGGGGTAGTCTGTTTTAGAGTTTTCTGTAATGACACTTCTTTGGTTTTTTAATCAGCAAAGGAACAATTGAAAGCTGTTGAGGAAGACTCTGATACTTCACACACTGTGAAGAAGCTTAAGACAATGCAAAACAGATCTGAAGATTGTGAGGAAAAGGAATGTCACTGTTCTAAATCTTCTAGAGTTTCTAATTCAAGTGGGGCTGAAAGCAAGAGCTTTCTATGCCATGCTGTAACAAAAGAGTCTGGTGTGCAATATAAAAAAAGGCAACACAGATCTGATCAAATCAAGCACTTGCAAAGTTTAAGTGTGACTGCTGCTGAAAAAGTGATGAATACGTCCGCAAAATGTGATGCTGAACATTGCAGTAATGGTCTAAACCATTGTAGTGGCTTGCTATTTGCAACAGAAAAGAATCCATTTGTGGTACTAGAGGATTGTAGTTACATCAATACATTAGTGAAGCCTTCAGCTAGTGGGACTACCAACACTTACAAATTAAATGGAGTCTTCCATGTAGCCCATGGTACTGGAGCCCTGCATGATAGAATTTGCAGCACTAGTGRGATGCAGAATGAGAGCTCACCCATAAAATGTAGTTTATCATCTAATAAGGAGAAGAACGGAAATGAAAAAGGCTGTTTTTCCTGCTGTCTGAGTGAAAGTAGTAAGTGTTTAAGGGAAAAAAAATGGAATATTGGTAGAAAGCATAGAAAAGAAGTGAAAATCACTGAGAAATCTGCAGATATGGCTAGTAAGTGCAAAAAGGGTGAGTTAGAAGCAGCAGTTGCCATGTCAAGCTCATTTGCAGTTTCAGGACTAAGTCATACTCTGTCAGCATCRTGTGATCATACAGAAAAAAATGCACATGAAGTACAAACTGCATCAGCTTGGAGAAAGAATAGTACCAAATTACTTGTGTGCGAAGGTGCCTTTAAGAAGACATCTGAGCCCTCTGTAAAAGCAACAGGAGAAAATTCAAGCAGTGTGGCACATCATGCAGCTGCCTCAGGTAGCCTGAGAGTGTTAGCTCAGATCTGTGATGTTTCTGATTGTCACAAAAGCAAGACAGGGGAATATTTGAACAAAGTTAGTAAGAAATTGCAGCAATTCACCTGTCAAAGAACAATACCCATGACTGGTAAAAAAGTTTGGCCTGTTGAATCTTGTGCCAGGACTTCTGAATGGTTTCTTGAAAATCATAGGCCCATCTCAGAAGGAAAAAGACTGCGAAAGGCTTTCTTTGAGGATTCCTCTGATAAATGCAGTGTTAAAACTGTATTACATAGTGCAGTGACTGGGAATTTGAGACAGTTGGATTTACATACGCCATTAGCAGACATTACAAAAGAAATTACACATAAAAATATTCATCCAAATACTGACTGTCAGACTTCACTTGAGACAGCAGAATCCTCTTCTGTGGATATTTATGAGACTTTTACAATGAACAGTGAAAATGGGGAATCACCCGTTAGTACAGATAAAAGTGCCGCTTTTAACCATGATGCTGTACAACAAGTTAAAGCAATCTTGAATTTTACAGCAAAGCAAAAAGATGAAAATGAAGGAGATGTAATAGAAGGAAACCTGTCTGTGACAGTCCAGAATGGTAAAACAAAACAAAAAGATAAAAGTGAACGAGTTGTGACAAATAGAAACCTGTCTCTCACCATCCAGAATGGTACAACAAAACAGAAGGATAAAAATGCAGATGTGACAAATAGAAACCTGTCTRTCACCATCCAGAATGGTACAACAAAACARAAGGATAAAAATGAAGGAGTTGTGGCAAACAGAAACCTGTCTGTCACCATCCAGAACGGTACAACAAAAAAGGATAAAAATGCAGATGTGACAAATAGAAACCTGCCCATGACAGTCCAGAATGGTGCAACAAAACAAAAAGGTAAAGGTGAACGAGTTGTGACTAATAGCAACCTGTCTGTGACAGTCCAGAATGGTACAACAAAACAAAAGGATAAAAAYGAAGGTGTTGTGACAAATAGAAAGGTGTCTGTGACCATCCAGAATGGTACAACAAAACAAAAGGAGAAAAAAACTGGTGTGACTAAGAGAAACCTGTCTGTGGCAGTCCAGAATGGTACAACAAAGCAAAAGGACAAAAGTGAAGGAGTTGTGACTAAGGGAA